GACCCCCCCCAGCAGACCAGGGAGACCGGGAGAAGCTTTTCTCGCCCTGGAGGACACGGTGGCGACCCGCCGCCCGTGAGCTCCGGGGCGAGAAAAGCCCCGTTTGTAAGTGCGGATCCGACATAAGTCGGATCCGCGTAAGTTGGGGACTGCCTGTAATTGTTAGCAAGAAAAAAATGTTCCAGATCTCCCTTTTCTCCAATGTTCTGGTTTCTCTCCTGGGTATTCAAAAGTCAGGGGAAATGTGCTTCCTGCTCCAAAAACCTACATTTGCTTCAATGGCAAAATTTGCAGAGCAACTCCTATAAATTAGGTAATTGGTTTGATCATTTCAATAAACTTATTTGAACTTTTGCACACACAAAAATAAAGTTTCCAGAAGGTTTTTGCCAATTTTTCCTGTTTACTACTTATAGCAAACCTTTTTCTATGCCCCCCAGATCTACTTTCCCCTCTGCCTTAGTTAGTACATCAGTTCCTTAGTGCCATAAATATCTATGAAGGCAGATTGTGTCTCCAAAAGCTAATGCACATTGTCTTGGTCCTGAAAGATTCCTATTGTTGAGGCTGCTTGAAAGTGACTTTGAATTGTCATTGCTCAAAGTTCCCATGCCATTATCTTAAGCTCAGGTATAAAGTCAGCAGGAGCTCACACCTTTAGAGTTGGATTTTGAAAAGCTTTTAGTGTTGACCTAATTCTCCTCCCATTAAAATCAGTGGTAACACTCGCCTAGATTTGAGTAGGAGCAGAGTTGGGACAATGCTAAGTGCTTTGGAAAATCTACCCTGGGCTCTTATTTCTTCATCCCTGTTCTTCCCCTGCATCCACCAAGCACCTATGCAACATAATTTGCTACTTTGCCCTCTTGACTATAAAGCCTGATTCCATATACTTTGGTTAACTTAAACTGCACTGATGATAATAGCTTTTTAATACAATTGTGAATATCACCACAGTGGATACTAAGGCGCACTTTCTATTTGAGGATTCTTACTGTGCTTTACAAAGTCCCAAAGCTGCTGTACTTAATTTTCTGCTGAGCAAAATTGCCTCGGGGCATGATGATCCGGGCACAAGTGGAACTAAAGCCCATGAGCTATGACTCAGCCCCTTCACCATGCCGTTCAAGTCAAATTAGTTTTATCCACAAAGACAGAGCCATTACAATTAAGGTCAGGTTATTGAATGGCATGGTTTTGGCTGTTTGTAAATAGCTTGGAGCTATTGCTTGTAATAAAAATAGTACATGAAATTGGTTTTAAAAGTAAGAAATTGTTTCTTCAGCTTGTGACTTGATTTGGAGCATTGCGCTGTTTGTGTTAGCACTGATGGCACCCGTGGAGGTGCAGAAAGACTTAACCCCAGAGTGTAGCCATGTGGCACTTCACAGACTAACGAATATATAGTAACATGAGCTCTCATGGGTAAAACACCATAGCCCTAAGAGTATGTCTAGCCTACAAGTGTCTTTTGAAAGAGATCGTCTAGACAGCCACAAGAGTTTCAAAAAAGCGATCCACTTTTTCGAAAGAGCACCCAGGCAATCTGGACGCTCTCTTTCCAAAAATCCCAGTTTCCGTTCAAGAACGCCTTTTTTCAAAAGAGCTCTTTCTTCCTGGTAAAAATAGGTTTACCAATTTTGAAAAAAACTGCCATGTTCATTCAATTTAATTTCAAAAGAATGCAACAGCAGTCTAGATGCAGGTGGAAAAAAAGGCCACTTTTTTTTTCAAAAAAACTCCGTAGTCTAAACACACCCTAGGTGTCCACAAGTGACTTACAGGTTAAGGTTTAATCGTCCCCAGTCCCCATGCGACATCCAGGTCCCTTTTGTGTGTTGTAGTCAACACGCAGCACACTGTATCTCCCTCTTGTGCTGTAGAATCTGAGCATATTAAATAAATCACATAATCTGGATTATTCTATGACTAACCTGCCGCCTGGAGGAGTGAGGAAAAATCCCTCTTATGGCCTGAGTCTCTTGTACAGAACAGACGACTAAATTCTTAGATCTAGTACCACGATCAGTGAATGGTCCTCTTGCCACAGGCAGAGGGAGAGGTTGTCTGTAGTGCAAGAGATGTGATTGCAGCTCCAGTAGCTGTACCTGAGCTAGCTTCCATCTCCCGCGCTCTCCGGGATGGAAAAACCACCCAGAATAGTTAACTTGCCCCTCCTGCTGCAGCCCCGGGGGCAGGGGCTCGTCAGGGCCCGCAGCCCATTCTGACCCTGTTTGCCGGGCCTCTCTGGGTGTGGGCGCGGGAGGCTCCAGTTAGCCCAGGAGTGGGCAATAGTTTTTGAAATTTCAGTGTATGAATTTCAGAAGTGGCTGTGGGCTGCCCCAGAAGGGGCAGGGCCAGGAAATTTCATGTGCTTCCTCGCCCACAGATCCTGATTGACCTGGGGGTGGGAGAGTAGGGGAAGTCTTTCTGCCTCCTCCCCCCACCCTGCCAGGGGGGTGTGGCACCTAGAGAGGACTGCCAGCTGTTTTGAACAGCTGGTGGTTCCCTCTAGGTGCCATGCACCCCTGACGGTGGGAGGAGACTTGGCACGTTCCCCCAGTCAATCAGGTGCTGTGGGGCGCACGTGACGTCTTTGCCCCCTGCCCTGCCAGGGGTGCACAGTGCCTAGAGCAGCGTTTCTCAAACTTTTTGAGACCACGGAACACCAAACAATATTTTTTTATGTGGAACACCGATGAAGATTTTCTTTAAAAAAAAAAAAATAGTTGTCAGACAAAAACGAAGTGACAAAAACAAGAGGTTGCGGCACACCTGTGAGTTGTTCACAGCACACCAGTGTGCGGTGGAACATAGTTTAAGAAACACTGGCCTAGAGAGAACTGCCAGCTGTTTCGAACAGCTGGTGGTTCCCTCTGGGACCACGTGTGTCTGGTCAGGGGAAGGAGACTTCATGTACTCCACCATCCCCAGATCTCAATTGGCCTGGGGGCGGGAGAGCTGCAGAGCGTTTGTGCGCTGGATCAAAGGTCTTGGCGAGCCGGATCCATCCCACGAAGGCTATCTTCCCCACCCCGGGTTAGCCGGTAAGCATGCGGATAAGGCATATGCTTACTGATTAACCTCTTACCTGGTTCACCTTTAACATCTCTAGCTAGCCTGAGCGGCAGAGCAAAGAAGCATATATTTTTGTGCTACTACACAAG